TTTTTTGGTTTGTTTGTTTGCAGTGCTGGGGATAGAACCCAGAGCCTCCTCATATGTGCTTGGCAATCTCTCTAACATGGAGCCACATCCCAGCTGGTAGCTGTTTTAATAGTAGAGCTCCCAGCATCTAAAAACTGCACGCAAAGGCTGTCCTGCATGAAGCTGCATGAAACTGGGTGTGGCTTTGGATTTTCTCTTCCCTTCCCCCTGCAACTGCCTCCTCAGGGATAGGCCAGTTTGGCTGTAAGCCTCGTTGGAGGAGGGCCTCTCGAGGCCCAGGCCTGGGGACTGTTCTGTGCCCTCTCCACCCGTTCCTTGTAGCTGAGGAAAACATTTCCCAAAGAAATCCCTTATGTTTGCCAGATTCTGCCTTGGGCAGGGCTCTCAGAGGCTGCTGGCTAGCTCAGAGAAAGGGAGAGGGGAGGGAGAGAGAGAAAGAGAGAAGGTGGAGGGAGAGAAAGGAAGGAGGGAGAGAGTGGGAGAGGGGCTAGAAAGACGGAGAATATTTTAGTTGGCTCTGGCTTCATTTTTCCCTCAGTAAGGAGCACTTTTGGATATTTTTTTTTTCTTTTTTTGTGTGTGCTGGAGCTTAAACTCACAACCTGGACACTGTCCCTTAGGTTTTTGCTCAAGGCTAGGACTCTACCACTTGAGCCACAGTGCCACTTCTGGCTTTTTTTGCTTATGTGGTACTTTGCTTATGTGAGGAATCGAACCCAGGGCCTCATGCATGCAAGGCAAGCACTCTACCGCTGAGCTACCTTCCCAGCCCAATGGAGATGAGTCTTTTGGAAGCATCTGCCTGGGCTGGTTTCAAACCTTGATCCTCAGAGCTTAGCCTCCCCAGAAGCTAGGATGACAGGCATGAGCCACCAGTGCCTAGCTTGTCTCCTTATTTTGACAGCCTGAAGTGGAGGGGTCCTGGGTAGATTCCAGGATTCTCCTTTAATTTTTCCTCAATTCTGCACATGTCCTTCTTACTTCCTAAGCAGTGGTTTCTCTCTCTTTCTCTCTCTCTCTCTCTCCTGGAAATTGAACTCAGGGCCTTGCTCTTGCTAAGCCAGTACTCTAACCTGCGTCTCTGAATTACCTCTCCAGTGTCTTCCCCAGCAGTGACTGGAGACAGAACTGGTTAGCAGTAAATCAAGAGAGGCTCCTATTTAGAGCCATTTGGCACTTATCCCTTCTCCCTAACAAATGTGAAATGCCTGGCCACGGACCAGGTATGTAGTAGGTACTCAATCAAATTATGATCTTATAAAGATCTTCTGAAACCAGACCTTACATTTCTATAGCAGATTCTGGAGGTAGAGTGGAAGGTGTGGGAGCCCTCCTGAGGCTCCTCTAATTCCATCCTGGACTCATACCTTCTGGGTTTGGAGAGCTGTGTGTGCTTGGCAGGGGGCAGGGGAAACTGCATGGTTTTGTTCAGACCTGGTCATTAAAGGTAACTCTGGAAAACAAGCCTGTTGGGAGTGGTGGTTTTAATACAAACAGAAAACAGAACAAGCAGAGCTCTCTCTTTGCACCCCCTAAGGCCCCTCCATTGGCCTAGGAACTCTGCCAGGGAAGCGGGGGTGGGACAAAGGTGCCTGGCCTTGTGTGTCCAGGGTTGGGGGAAGTGCTTTCTGTGTATTCTTGGCTGTTGTAGCAACTGGCAGACTGGGTGGGCCCAAGACAACACTCCAAGGCTGTGAGTCATGGGGGAAACCTGGCTTGGAAAGGAGGGGGGGGGGAACAAATCCATTAACAGAGGGGAAAAGCTAAGGATGCACTCTCTCTCTCTGGAGCACACCTACAGGACATTGCCTAGGCCTTAATGTCAAGTTGTTTCTTCCCTTGTCCCCAACCTTCCACCAAAAAAGATAGCTCCTTTGGTAGAAGCCTATGGTAAATGGGGTTATATCCCTCCAACTACCTTTCTGATCTGAGTAGATGTCCCCAAATCCAAGAATAATCCTCCTCACACTGAGACTGCTCTCCATACTGTCGTTTGAGAGCTTTCTTTGGGTGTCAGGAAGACAGAATGGCCATGAGAAGCATAAAGTTCTCAATCAGCTTTCCCTGCTTAGCTGGCAAAGGCCTTTATCTAGAAAGCCAGAGGCCAGGAAAACCAACCAGCTCAGCCTTTGGGAGTTGGGGGTGGGGGTGGGGCAATGTGAATTTGCTTTCTAGCAGCTGGGACCGTTTCCTGATTATTATTATTCCCTGTAGTCACTCTTCAACCCTCCTGCCCTCCCCAATCCATCCATAGTGTCTGAGCTTAGGGAACTTTACCTCACTTTTCAGTAGGATACACACACACTGGGGTAAATTCTTCCTGTAACAGAGTTTACTCCTAGGGAGTCCTAAAATGATGAATTAAGTCCTAATGATGTTAAGTCCTGATGTTAAGTCGCCAGTGGCAGGCAGGGAGATGACTACAAAAGACCTAAAAGAGCCAGATGCTTGGGGGCTCATGCCTGCCTCTTTAATCGTAGCTACTCAGGAAGCTGAGACCTGAGGACTGAGGTTTGAAGCCAGACTGGATTAGACTCTGACTTCCAACTAACCACTAAAAAGTTGGAAGTGGTGCTGTGACTCAAGTGGTAGAGAATCAGTCTTGAATAAAGAAAAGCCAAGCCAGGCATTGGTGGCTCACGCCTGCAATCCTAGCTACTCAGGAGGCTGAGATCTGAGGATTGCAGTTCAAAGCCAACCCATGCAGGAAACTCTATGAGACTCTTTATCTCCAATAAACCACTCAGAAACCCAGAGTGGTGCTGTGGCTCAAGTGGTAGAGTGCTCACCTTGAGCTGAAGAGCTGAGGGATAGTGCACAGTCCCAGAGTTCAAGCCCCATGACCAACAACAACAAAAAAAAAAAAAAAAAGAAAGAAAAGAAAAGTGGAGAGCAGAAGGCCCCGAGATCTAGGCACACATACACACACACACCACACATACACAGACCCAAAAGATACAGATGAAATCAGAGGGAATGTTGAGAGAGGCTGAGACCTTCCTATACTCAGAACAATAACAAAAACCCTCTCTTTCACTCATTGCCTTGGTGAATAAGAGGCAGAAGCAGAACTATGCTCCAGAATGCCCACAATAGCACTAAGCCACCTATGGCAGGTGGAGACTACAAGTCCCAGCATGCTCTGTGCCCAGGTCACCTTGCTTGCTGGGAGGTGTAGTAGGGTAATAGAGAGCTAGAGGTGGCTTGATGCCCAACAGAGCTGTTGCCCAGTTGGGAGAAGAGGTGGAGCTAGCTTTCCCTCTTTGTCCCTGCTAATGTTATTGACAGGGAGGGAAGGAAGTTGGGAGGAGGTGTTCCTAGTTTTCAGTGTAAACCAGGAAATTCTGGGGGGATGTTGATGCGAGGGAAAGGAAAGAGGTCTGGGGGGTAGGGAAGGAATTCTGTAGCAGGTGGTTCCAGTGGAATCCAAAGAGATTCCAAGTAGCTTATGAATAGGTTGTGTGTGTGTGTGTGTGTGTGTGTGTGTGTGCGTGCGTGCGTGCGTGAGCGCTTGTGTAAGAGAGGTCAATTTGTGTTGCCACATTTTCTCAGGAGATGGGATTTTCTTACAATTCTGGAAAACTGTCTTCAGAAAACCTGCTGGTCTGAAGTAATTGAAGAGTATCTAGACTAAATGGAAGCCCCTGTTTATGTTCTGGATCAGGCTCCTTTCTGTACTCAGCATCTTCTACTTTTGATGTGGTGATATTGTGTGTGTGTGTGTGTGTGTGTGTGTGTGTGTGTGTGTGAGAGAGAGAGAGAGAGAGAGAGAGAGAGAGAGAGAGAGGAAGCCTGGGATGGTGAAATGTTCAGGAGCAACATTTCAGGATCTTGGAAAATTTCCCCAGTATAGAAAACAACAGTGGTGCTGTGTGTGTTTAAAGACCATGGGTAGGGTTGGGAATGTGGTTTAGTGGTAGAGTGCTTGCCTAGCATGCATGAAGCCCTGGGTTTAATTCCTCAGTACCACATAAACAGAAAAAGCTAGAAGTAGCGCTGTGGCTCAAGTGGTAGAGTGCTAGCCTTGAGCAAAAAGAAGCTCAGGGACAGTGCTCAGGCCCTGAGTTCAAGACCCAAGACTGGCAAAAAAAAAAAAAAAAAAAAAAAAAGACCATGGGTAAACTGGGATGGGACACCCATCACTCTTCAGCTTAAGAGGCGCGCTCTACCACTTGAGCCACAGCACCACTTCCGGTTTTCTAGTGGTTTATTGGAGACAAGCGTCTCATGGACTTTCTTGCCCAGGCAGGCTTTGAACCTTGATTCTCAGACCTCAGCCTCCTGAGTAGTTAAGATTACAGGCGTGAGCCACCAGCACCGGCTCTTTTCCTTTCTTCTATCAGTTTCTGCCTGGGGGAGGGATTATGACCACTGGTGGAGTCAACCAATATGAGAATGTCATGGAAATGTGTATGTGTGTCTCCTTGTGTGAGTTTAGCCCGTCTCCTTTCCTGTTTCTGAAATGGCTCTAGTGGGTGGAAAATGCAGTGCCTTGACGTTACCTTAAAGCTTCCCTGTGGCCTGTGAGTTCATTCCCTTGCCTCCCAATCAAACTTTCAGCGGATTGTCCCAACCAAGCTCTTGCTTTTTGGCCAGGCTAGGGCATTATATAATTTAGGACACCAGAGGGCGCTCTGCCACGTCTAAAGTTAAGCTGCATCTTCAAATCAAGCGTTTCCCTGCCATCTGGGGGGGGGGGGGTAGAGTGGGGTGGTCTTAGAGTTGTAAGGGCTGGGGGCTCTCCGAGATACTTAACTAACTACAGTTATAATGCCTGCCACGATCCCACCCCGTGCTGCCTGTACAGGGACCACTTAAATCACAGGTACGGGGTGCCCACAATGTGTGCGGCAACGGTACCAGGTGCTGTCAAATTCAACCACGCAGCCCCCCCCCATCCCCAGGGTCGACCACCTGGGGTCTTCCCCCTCCTCCTCCCAGCGCCTACCTGCTCTCCCCTCGCTCGGGCCCACTCTCACCTTGCGCTGCTCTTTCCTTAGGACGACGTGAAGCTGCCAGCTAAGCTGAGCGTCGGCAAGTCTCTCAAAGAGTCCGAGGCGCTGCCGGAGAAGGAAGGCGACGAGCTGGGCGAGGGCGAGCGCCCGGAGGAGGACGCCGCGGTGCTCGAACTCTCCTCCGACGAGGCGGTGGAGGTGGAAGAGGTGATCGAGGAATCGCGCGCGGAGCGCATCAAGCGCAGCGGGCTGCGGCGCGTGGACGACTTCAAGAAGGCCTTCTCCAAGGAGAAGATGGAAAAGACCAGGGTGCGCACCCGCGAGAACCTGGAGAAGACGCGCCTGAAGACCAAGGAGAACCTGGAGAAGACGCGGCACACGCTGGAGAAGCGCATGAACAAGCTGGGCACGCGCCTGGTCCCCGCCGAGCGCCGCGAGAAGCTCAAGACGTCACGTGACAAGCTGCGCAAGTCCTTCACGCCCGACCACGTGGTCTACGCGCGCTCCAAGACGGCCGTCTACAAGGTGCCGCCCTTCACCTTCCACGTCAAGAAGATCCGCGAGGGGGAGGTGGAGGTGCTGAAGGCCACCGAGATGGTGGAGGTGGGCCCCGATGACGATGACGAGGGCGCCCCGCGTGGGGAGGCCGCCGACCTGCTGCGCGGGAGCAGCCCCGACGTGCACACGCTGCTGGAGATCACCGAGGAGTCGGATGCCGTGCTGGTGGACAAGAGTGACAGCGACTGAGCCCCACCCGCGCCAAGAGAGCGCGCATGCGCGGGGGGGGGGGGGCGAGCGTGGGGCTCTGGCACTTGGACGGGGTGGGCTCCGCGCCTCGCCCTGCCGCCTGCTGCCGCTCTCTGTCCCCAGCCCCTACCCACCTACTCTCCCCTTTCCAAACTTGCTCTTTTGCATTTTCCTCAGACCCTTTTGGGTTGAGAATTTTCTCAAATATCAGTTCCTCCCACCCTGTCCCCCTCCCCACCGAGGAGCGTGCCTGCCAATCACACGGTTAGTGGGCGGGAGGCAGGCCCCGCCCCCACCTTGGACAGCCTCACTTTGGACATAGCCTGGATGGGATATGCTTTTCCATATTAGTGATCCTTGGGGGGGGGGGGAGATTCCTTAATTCCATGGTTGGGCCCCATGGGGGTGGGGGTGGAAACTGCCTGCCACTCATTTTGCCCCCCATCACACCCATCCGGCTATGTCATTCCTGCTCCTTGAGCTCTTCTCATCCTCACCCCAGGAGTCTCTGAAGCCAAAATTACTGCAAGAAGTGTAAACCTTAAAGAGCCTTTTTGCCCATAGATTCCTACTAGAAGACTTGAGAAAGTCTATGGGAACTTCAGGCTGGGGAGAAAAGCCCAGTGACCTTGCACTAGTGTGGGTTAACTACAGAGCCTGGGGAAGGAAGAGGGTGGGAACACGTGTGGGGGAGGGGCACTTTTACACATCTTCCATTTCTGCACACTGTCTGCACACAGGAGCACGTGGCTATGGCTTTGGGAAGAAGAATGGGATAATAGGAACAAGTGGAAAAGAAGGATGAAGAGAGAAGCGTCCTTATTAGTAGCATGAAGAAATACTGGATAAAATCCAAATCTGGAAGTCCCAGGACATCAGGACCAGTTTCAGGAGTAGGACGATAGGAAGGCAGTTTGGAAGAGGGGTGAGGCAAAGAGAAAGGAGAGGTGACTCTTAACGAAGATCCCTCAATTGGGGTTTGCCTAGGAAATTAGGGTCCCAGAAGGGGGCAGCAGCAGGCTGCAGGAGAGCTGGGAGTTAAGAGCCAGGCTGGGGGAAAGAGCATGAGTGGCTAATGGACTGGCTGTGTGTGAGCAGACAGCTGGAGGGGAGGTCTGCACTGGGCGCGCAGTAGAGCAGCCTGTACAGCTGTTCCTGCAGAAGCACATCTTTCTCTGACATGTAGGACTTGTCCAGACCCTGCTGGGTTCCTTGTCTTTAAGAATGCATTTACCAAAACATTGGGGCAGTCTGAGGCTTGATTTTTGTCATCTACTGACAATGCTATCCTCAGGACATTTTAGTCCCCTTGCTTTTCTCCATTAAAGACTTGTCAGACCAAGGAGAAGCCTCTTCCTCCCCCTCCCAAGTCACAGTCCCAAAGGATTGCTGGGGCTTCACCTACAGCCTACTGCCGGACTCCTTGTCTTCCCTGCTCTGCTTTTCTTTTTCTTTTTGAATTATAGCTAATTGTGTTAAGGGGGTGGGAGGGAAGGAGCCTGGGGACACAAACCTTTTATACAACACAAAGCTTTGCTTTTTTTTTTTTTTTTCTTTTCCTTTTGTTGGTTCCCTTCCTCCTCTGAATGGTTGGAGATTTGTCAGCTGAAGGAGATGGGGGATTGTGGGATGAAGTCTCTAAGTGCTGATGGGCAGAAGGGGCCTGAGCTATGGGAAGATGCAGTTTCCTGTGGGCTCTAGGGAGCCTCTTACGTTGCTGTGTCCTGGTGAGCAGCCCGACCAATAAAACCTGCTTTTCTAAAAGGATCTGTGTGAGTTCATGTTCTCCAAAGCAATTAACTTAGGGAGAAGACTGGATAGAGGGAAGGAAAGAGAGAAGGAGAGAGGGAAAGAAGATTGGTAGTATAAATTTATCTCACCTGGCTGGGCTAGGGGTGGAAGAGGGAGAGAATTATAATGTATTAGACCTTTTTTTCTTGGAAGTTTCTAAGCCCTTTGGCATATAAGTGCTTATTTAATCTGTTAGGAGGTCCAATTCCATCCTTCTTATCCCTATCTGAGAGAAGAGGAAATTGATTTATGGAAGGTCACATAACTGGTAAATGACAGAGCCAGGCAAAGGCTTGGATCCACCATATTTAAAATAATAATCTGTAATCCCTTATTGTTTGGGTCCCCTTTCCCAGCTTTCAGGATGCATCTAGAATATGCACCCTGTTATCCTAAACTTCCTCTAGATATCCTACCCCACCCAATTATAGGCTTGGAGGAGGCATCCTTGGAAGGGAGAAATTGGAGGCCCCATCAAAGAGATCTGGATGTCAGAAAGGACATCAATGCATCTCTTGTTTATCTTTTTGTCAGTCTTGGGGCTTGAACTCAGCCCGGGAGCTGTCCCTCAACTCTGCAGATCAAGGCTAGCGCTCTACCACTTGAACCATAGTGCTATTTCCAGTTTTCTGGTGGTTTATTGGAGATAAGGGTCTCACAAACTTGCCTGCCTGGGCTGGCTTTGAACTGGGACCCTCAGTTCTCAGCCTCCTGAGTAGCTAGGATTACAGACGTGAGCCACTGACACCTGGCCATCAATGCATCTCTATGCCAGCTGTACCCACATATTCTATCCTCTTTCCTCAGGATCAATCTGCTAGAAACAGAATCATCTTGTGGATTTTGCCTGCCTTAAAACCACCTGCTGAAGGTATTCCTCATGAAAGTAATGCCATTTCTGGGACTTTACTCCATCCTCCTGCTGCTATCTCAGACAGTCTTTCTCATGAACCATGAATGTGTTCCCATTTTATCTCGCCCCCCACCTCCCACAGAAGATTCCAGAACTATCCAGAGTTCTAGGTTCCCCAGAAAAGGTTGCTTCCCACCAGCATCATGGATGATGATATTGAAAATTCAGAGTCCAGAAGCTAGAAAATTTCTCACTTTCCAGGTGAGATATCCCAAGACTGCTAACACCTCTGAGACCTCAATTTGTCCCTTGTGAGGGGGGAATGACACCAGACCTGAACCCCAGGTAAACTCATGCTTTCCCTTGGCTAGCAAGCCATCATCTAGAATCTCTCACCCACAGTCTTTTCCTTTTTCTGCCATAACTCACCTAATACCCTTCCAATATCAACAAATTGCTTTACTGTCCTCACCCAATTTTGGGGAGGGGGGAGGTACTGGTACTGGAGCTTGAACTCAGGGCCTGAGAACTGTCTTTCAGCCTTTTCATTCAAGGCTGATGCTCTACCACTTGAGCCACAGCTCCACTTTTGGTGGTAAGAGTCTTGGAGATAAGGAAAATGGGTGAAACTGACATTGGAGAGCTAGTCCCTGTTATCTAATAGGATTTGATGGGAATTCCAAGATCCTATACCAACACTTTCATCTAATATAAATTTGCATTAGCATTATTTCCAAGAGATATAGGCAGACAATAAAGTAGGGATATGATCTGTCACAGAATTTTGGGAGGAGCTGGGAATGTGGCTTAGTGGTAGAGTGCTTGCCTAGCATGCATGAAGCCCTGGGTTCAGTTCCTCAGTACCACATAAACAGAAAAAGCGGGAAGTGGAACTGTGGCTCAAGTGGTAGAGTGCCAGCCTTGAGCAAAAGAAGCTCAGGGACAGCCCGGGCCCTGAGTTCAAGCCCCATGACTGAAAAAAAAAAAAAAAAAAAGAATATTAGGAGCAAGGGAAGTTCCTCTATATATAACCTCAAATTGAACCATCAGGTCTCTGTGATTTCTTTGTTCCTTTTGGTGGTCCTGAGTTATCAGGGGCATGTTATGTTACCTTCCAAGGTCTTATTCTTAGGAAGTAACTTTCCATGAGGTCAGGACACAGCTGCAGTCAGTGTTGGTTGAGTGGAGTCCCTCATCCCTCTCTCCTGCCACATTAGAAGTGACTTGGGATCCTCTTTCTAATCTATTTACCACGTAGAATCTCTGATCTACAATGGTTCAGTCTATGAGTTACAATAGTAACTAGAGTAACTCATAGATCATTTGAAAATATTTTTGTTTGTTTTTGTTTTTTTTTGGGTCCGGTCGTGGGGCCTGAACTCTGGGCCTGGGCGCTGTCCCTCAGCTCTTCAGCTCAAGGCTAGCACTCTACCACATGAGCCACAGCACCACTTCTGGCTTTTTTCTTTTTGCTTATGTGGTGCTGAGGAATCGAACCCAGGGCCTCAGGCATGCAAGGCAAGCACTCTACCACTGAGCCACCTTCCCAGCCCACAAGACTTCTTAAGAATCCGGTCCTGGTTCAGTTTTTGTTACTCAACATGTTCTTAGGGAATTTGTCTGTGGACAGGATGAGATGGAAATTTCCAGTTGTATGGGCCTTTGCACAGGCTGACACACCCTTCACCCCCACTCTAGTGTGGTGTGGTATCCCATTTCCATCTCTTCCCCCACCCTTTTTTTTCCCCTTTGTACCAATACTGGGGCTTAACTCATAGTCTGGGCACTGTCCCTTAGCTTTTCCCACTCAAGGCTGGCCCTCTATCACTTGAGCCATAGTGCCACTTCCGGTTTTCTGGTGGTTAATTGGGGATATGAGTCTCATGGACTTTTCTGCCCTGGTTGGCTTTGAACTGTGATCCTCAGTTCTCAGCCTCCTGAGTAGCTAGGATTACAGGTGTGAGCCACTGTGCCCGGCTCTAATTCTGATTTATTGTTGGTTAAAGAGATCAGTCTTGGGGCTGGGAAGATGGCTCAGTGGTAGAGCGCTTGCCTTGCATGCCTGAGGCCCTGAGTTCGATTCCCCAGCACCACATAAGCAAAAAGAAAAAACAGCTGGAAGTGGTGCTGTGGCTCAAGTGGTAGAGCGCTAGCCTTGAGCTGAAGAGCTGAGGGACAGCGCCCAGGCCCAGAATTCAGGCCCCACGACCGGACCCCCAAAAACAAAACAAAACAAGACATCAGAGTCTCTTAGGCTTGTCTACCTAGATGGCTTCGAAGCTGTAATCCTCAGATCTCAGCCCCCCAAGTAATTAGGATTATAGGCATAAGCCCCTCCTTAACCATTCCCCTTAAAACAACTTTTTCCTCAGTTTTATTCTAATCTTCCTAATCATCACTTTCTCAGACCTTCCATAGAACTGGTTTTATTTTCATTTTTTTAAATTTTTTGTTGATTGTAGGGCTTGAACTCTGGGCCTGGGCGCTGTCCCTCAGCTCTTCAGCTCAAGGTGAGTGCTCTATGGCTTGAGCCACAGCACCACTTCTGGTTTTCTAGTGG